TAAAGTTTAAAGTTAATCCATTCTGGTCAACTCTATAAGGTCCAGAATTTATTTTAGACAGTCTCTAACTCAGTAACTTTGGATGACTCAGTCTTTCAGATTATTTTATCCTCCTTTTTCTGTTCAATGTGGCATGTGGATTTTAGGGGGTCTTAAGTGAATTTCATGGCATTGAAAGAAGAGGACCCTAATTCAGCCTACTCCTCTTTGAGGTTGTCAGATGACATTTACTGAAATGTGGTTTGTCTGATAGAAGTGATGACTGAAAATCCCAACAGGTCATGACTACCCAAGGAAGCAGAAGCTAAGAGGGTAAGAAAGTTGCCCAAAGTCATGAAGTGACAGATGCAGAGATCAACAGCGCACTTATACCATTAGGCACTTGGCTACATGAGTTTGGAAGTCCAGAGAGAAGTTAAGGCTGGATTTCGGAGAACAGTGAGTCTTTCTGATACAGCTTCAGAGATGTGACTGCCCTTGGAGAATACTGTAGATGAGATGAGAAGAGGGCCTAGACCAGAACACTCAAGAATCACTGGGAGGGTGGAGGTGCAGATCAGTGGTAGAGCACACTGGCATGTGCAAGAGCCTGGATTCATCCCCAGGGAGAAAATAATGACTGGCATATGAGAGTTGGAGAGAGGAAGGCCAACCTGACTGCTCCTGTCCAAACTTTTTCCTCTTAGGAGTGTTTCTAGAATGAAGAGTCAGGACTTCCACCCAAACTGGGCATATTCCAACCAGGGCTGAACCATCCTTCAGGGTACCCCACTCCTCTCTGTCCCAGGCTCCCTCACAGCATAGCAAAACACAAACTAGTAACCTAACCTGAGTGGGAACTCACTAAATACAGCGAAAGAACTTGCTAGAAAGTCTTCACGCTACCTTCTAGGGCCAGGACACGTGTGGTCAATGACAACCCCTCTAAAGTGCGGACGATGCAGGTGGGCATGGGGTGTGCAGGACGACAGAGGGATTCCCAGACAGGGAGGTGTGGTACTTTCAGATGTGGTTGGTCTTGCTGATGAGGGAGGGAGACCTTCCGAAGTGGGGTTGCGGACGTCTTGGCCTTTCTCCGATGTTAAGCGAGTAGCAATTCCAGGTGTGGGAGGTACAAGAAATCCCTGCAAGGTGGGCCTTGCCTACACCCTCCACCCTCTCCCGGGACAGATCAAGCCAAAGTATGCCCTTCAGCCCTCCTGCCCCCAGCAGCGCAGCACCCCGGCGTCCCTGTCCCACCCCAGAGCACCACGAATGACGCGGGAATTTGGCGCGCCCAGCCAATTGAACCGCTGCAGTAGCCGGGAGGTGGTTCCGCCCCCTACAGGCAGGGAGCAGCCGGCCACCCAGTAGGCGGGACTCTTCGCTGTTTTTGAGGCTGGCCGAGCTCGATCGGGCTCAGCCGACGGTCGCCGGCTGTAGCCGAGCCCAGCCGAACGCAGCCGAACCCCGCGCCG